CCAGGGAACTACCGACCAGTCAGCCTGACCTCAATACCTAGAAAGACCATGGAGTATATCGTCAAGGAATCTGCTGTGAATCATCTAAATGGGAACAAGGTGATCAGAAAGAGCCAGCATGGATTCTGAAAGACCAAGACATGCCTAACCAACCTAAATTCCTTCTATAATAATGTGACAGGCTGTGAATGGGTGGGGAGGACATCTGATTCGATATACCTTGACTTTACTTAGCTTTTGACACACTCTCCCATGATATTCTCATTAACAAACTAAGGAAATGTAGACTAAATGAAAATAACGTAAGGTGGATACATAACTGGTTGGATCATCATGCTCAACGAGTAGTCATCAATGGCCCAATGTCTAGTTGAAAAGAGATAGAAAGTGGGATTCCCCAATGGTCTGTTTTGGGTAGATTATTGTTTAACATTTTATTAATAATTTGGATGATGGGATTATATGCATGCTTAGCAAATTTGCAGATGCCACCAAGTTCTAAGCACTCTAGAGCTAGAATCCAGAATGACCTGGATAGAGTAGGGAAATGGTCCACAATCAATTAGATGTAATCAACAAAGGCAAATGCATTTTCCTGCACATTGGATGGAATAATTGCATGTACAAATACAGACTGGGAATGACTGGCTAGGCTACAATACTACAGAAAAAGACCTAGGGATTACAGTAGATTGTAAACTGAAGAGGAGCCAACAGTGTGCTGCAGCTACAAAAAAAAGCCAGCAGCACACTGGGTTGTATTAACAGGAGTGTCAATTGCAAGGAAGTGATTCTTCTGCTCTCCTCAGCACTGGTGAGGCCTCACTTGGAGTACTGTGTTCAGTTTTGAGCTCTATACTTCAAGAAAGGTGTGGACAAGTTGGAAAGAACTCAATGAAGAGCAACAAAAATTATCAGAGTCCAGAAAAACATGATGTATGGGGAAAGGCTGAAAGAAACAGGACGGTTTAGTCTGGAGAAAAGAAGACTGGGTGTGTCTACATGTTCATTAATGTGCCATACTTACAGCGCATTAAGTTTAGTACCTGCAATGACAGGTACTAACTTAATATGCTGTAATTGGTGCTACTGCACATTAGCTGAGATGAACAGGTTTTTTGTGACGTTAATGTGCATTAGACTAAATCCATTGTGCATTAGCACGGGCTTTGCCTGCCTTGCTAATGCACAGTAGAATTAGTCTTCTGCTCTTGAAGCATCGTGTGTAGATGCCCCCACAAAATGAAACAAAAATGGTATTTAATAACAGTCTTAAATGCCTGAAGGTTGCTTATAAAAAGAGAATGGAGATGTGTTTTTCAAGTGGGCATAAGAGACAGGACTAGGAGTAGTAGCCTCAAGCTGCAGCAAAGCAATTTTATGTTGGAGATGAGGAAAACTTGAGCACTGAAACAGAGTACCTAGCGAAGTTGTGGAATCTTCATCCCTAGAAGATTTCAAGGGCAAGTTGGACAAACAGTTGGCTGGAATGGTTTAGTCAAGGATGATCCCATCTTAAGCAGGGGACTGGACTTCATGACCCACTTTCCTTTGATCCTATCATGCATCTTTTTGTTAGGTCACACTCTTGCACAGTGGAGGATGTGCATTTAAATCTCCTCTGTGAGAGGAGTGCCCAGAAACTAGTTAACCTATATCTTGGGTGAACACTCTAGCCACAAGTGTACTGGGGAAAAGATGGATACAACCAACACTTTTGAGCTGAATTCAGTGCTCTTGACTCAAGGAAGTCATGTTTTTATCCAGCCTAAAGATGTGGGCCTTTCTAGGGCTGTAAGCACACTCACGTTTACTTTCCAATGAGTCCCTTTGAATCATTAATTAATGCATGAGTCAAAAAAATAATGAGTTTTTAGGGTGAAAGCAATTTGAATCTCTCTTTAGCATTTAGGCATCCAACTTCTGCCTAAATCCTGGTTATGCACCTACAGAGGCAATTTGAATCTGGTTCCTAACCTTTACGCATGGTTTATAGAGAGTCAAATTACAGTGTCAGTGAAGCCAACATATAATAAAGCCTGTGATTTCTTTCAATTGTGTGTATGTCAACAAGCTTGTGCCCTGAAGACAGAGTACTTTGTAGTCAGAAATAGAAGTGTGTCGTTCACTTTGACGGTGGTTTAAGATCCCTTTTACATTTTACACAACTACTTCAGATCTACACAGATCATAGCATCTATAGATTTGACTAGGAACCTGTACCCAGATGAGGATTGTTGTACCAAGTTAAAAAGTCAAGGGCTGGATAAAAAACATATGGAAACTCACGTTTGCATGCCACTACATTGCTGGTGCCTAATAGTGGGAGTATGACCAAAGATTGGGTCTTGCAGTTAAACAGCTCATTACCATAATAACAATCATACTTAAGTCCATCCATCCTCAGAGAGATCTATTCTTACCCTCACTCCAGTCCATTTTAATTTTGACCTCTTGATAGTAAAGGAGACATTCTCCTCCTGCTCAGAGAGAAGGACAGCATCTGCTGATTAATTTGCCTTGCATCCACACAGAGCCTGAAGTGTAATGACTCTGCATTCCCTGCAGCAGAAAGAGCCTGCATTATCCAAGATGAAGTGGCCTATTGCCTGCACAGATGACACGATTCTTCCGTATTAGGTAACTGCTTTAATAAACTGAAAATGGAAAAGAAGTATTCCTATTTCTTGGCTTTCCCAAAATATTGGGTATAATCCGGCACTCTTTAGTTAGGTAAAAATGCATTTAGTTTGACAGCATTTTCTCTTTAATGTGAACTTCAGAATCAAGACTGTTAAAAGCATGAAGTTTGTTACTTTGTTCTGGATTGGATGCTTTAATGAAACAGAACATGCAGATAGACTGTATTCTTAGCATGTGCTTCATTATGCAGCTAAACTACTAGACTGAATACAGTGCAGTCTTGCTTTCACCTGCCTGTTAACTCACTGTCCTTGATGAAAGACTACTTGTGCTGCCTATCATGTTCACAGTGGGTAAGACTTATAATTTAAATTGTAAGCCTCAATATTTAAATGGAACTGTATATGTGATCTTTGTCACCTCATTTTCATGAATGGAAAAGAATATATAGACACAAAAATTACATACTTAATTCTGCCTCACCTTCTCCACTGACCTCCATCCCACACTGCCTTGGGTTTATTTCCTCATCCATCAATGGGTCAAAGTAATTTCTGCTGTATTCATTTCCTGTGGAAAGCACATGAAGTAAGGGTCAGCGATTATTAGAAGCACATGAACCAAAATGTTAATTTTGAAATCGACACCAGCAAGTGAAGGGGCATTTTTTGCTACTTTATAAGCTTAATTTTTTAACAAGTCTTCTAAGCCTACTAGTACTGCAATTATCATCTTGTGAAAGGTCAAAAAAGGTAATTTTGGAAACAAGTGCACTTTATGTTACTCTTACTCAGAAGCTAATGAGAAAAATCTCAAATTTAGATGATAGAATGATAAAAAGAAAAATAACTCAACATCCCAAACCAAAGCCAAATTATTTTTGAGACACACTTTATAAGTGAATGTAACCGTGGCTGTAAAGGAACTTGTGCTTCACAGCTGACCCTTCCAATTTTAACAGTTTTAAATTTCACCACTGAGGTTTCAACGTCTGGTGCATCTTTAATTCTGTAGTCAACCAGAGAAGTGTTTAATTACAGAGGAGATACTGAAATTCTGCCTCATTAATCTGAACAGCAATTATATTAAGTTGGGCTAGGTAACTAAACCAAGATTTTGATGGGATAAAAATACTCATTTAGCAGTTTCCATCTCAATAGCTGTTTTTATCTTCATCTTTAGCTTTAGGAAATAATCAAGTTTACAAAAGTAAAAGTCATTCATTAAACTTATCAAGGAACTGTGCAGTGTATATTTGCCCGGCAGAACTTCCTGTATCATCAGCGAAAAGAATTCTCTCTGCTCAAGGCTGAGTTTCAGCTTCCTCAAAAAATATCCTTGTTTTGGCAAAAAATTATCTTCCTGGTAGTCTCATTCAAATCATTGAGACTACAGGCCTAGTAAATTACTATTCAGCCTGAGCAGAGTTGGCAGATTTTAGCTCCAAAACTAATTTCAAAATTGTAGAAACAGGCACAATGCTTTGCAGTTTACATCTCCATTCTTGAAAACAAACAAAAGTCAAACATATGAGAGGGTTAATGCATCCAAGACACACTATAGCAATCTGCAGTATATTTGTTTTAGGATCAAAAATAATCCAAGCAGCAGCTCCTTTTCAGAGACTAAATGAAACTCTGATATGAAACTAGGTTTAATTTATATTTCTAGACTGGCACATTTTGACTGTCAGTCTCTGTTCTTTCAATGTAGTAAGTACAAGAACTGAAAATTTGCTTTACCTTGAGGTCTCAATAAAGAAAAAATAAATGAGTTTCATTTTTGTTACTTTATCTGTCAACAACTACTAGGCTGGTATGAATCTTGGCAGTATGTAATCAAAGTCTTATGTACTGCAATAACAGAGCAATTCTACCTTATTCACTGTAATTGTTTTCCTCTAGCACAAAGCACTGTGATTCTATAAGAACACCCTTTCATATGTTGGCAAAATAATTCACCCATGTGTTTAAAAAAAAGAAAGTGATGATGCATCTCTTTATTCAATTGCTTCATAGCTATAAATGTAAACTACTGGGAAGTGTATGTTGTGAACTATACAAAGTGGTACTAAGCTACTGCATAGCTTTTTCCGGTCCTCTGTACCGAGACATATTGCACTCTGTTTGGGGGATGCAATATAGAAAACTTTTCCAAAAATTAATACAGAGGGATGCAAATGTTACACTATTGCTCTTTCTATCTTTATTATAAAGTCCTCCTTGAGAAACTGTAAAAACCATCTTGTTCAAGGAGGAATCTTCATTCCATATTCTTATTATAGCCTTCTGAGGAGAAACAAGTATTACCTCTGTTGCCTAGCTAACATTTCTCGACTCCCTCCTAGAGTGTTCATCTTTATGCACTACCAGGAAGCTCCGTCACTTCTGTCAAAAATAGTGGAAAGGGAAAAAACATTATTTACTAGTATTATCCAAGACACCCCAGCCCAGGCTCTTGTCTATCATAGAAGCACCATGGATTTAAATTACTGAAGTTATTTAGAGGTTAGAAACACTGTCCTTGAATCATCCTCCTCCAGTTCACTAAATCCCAAGGCTGGAATGCAGCTGTCACAGTAGGCTAGAAGTGGCAGTATAATTTCTTCTTGTGTCCAGCTACCACAATTATAGTTTGTTTTTTCCCCAGTATCAAGTACATAAAATGCCCCTGCCTACAGCCCTGACAAGGTCTTCCCCAGTGCATAGTTCCTCAAAGAGTGGGCAGACCAACAGATGCTCCATGGTCTTTGTTTCACAGCACTTGTGCCTGTGTCATTAGTGTTACCCTGCTTCTGCATACCATCTTTTGACCTGCTGACTCTTGCTCAGAGTCAAGAGTTAACCATGTCCAAGTCAATCTATCTTTCTCCATGCCTGCTGCCCATGCTACATTCCTATGACACTCCGGATGAAGAAAATATATTATTAAAAACATATTAAAATACTACCAGGGCTTCAGTGGAACCCCTCCAAAGACATGTTCTTTATGTATAGAAGCGCTGCCTATTTGGAGTTACTTGGTCTTGTCTTTTCTTGTCTAGGTCCATCCACATTATGGGCTAGGCCAACTGGAACCAGATTCTGTGGTATTTAGGAACTGTTGTATAAGCATTTCAGGCAGATTGTCCTCAGCTGGTGGATTATAGCACAACCAGTGAATCTGGTCTGTTGATTCCATGAATGAGGCCTGTTTATTTTAGTTTTAAAAATACTAAATTATCAATATTAGTCAGCATAATATATTGCCAAAGGCATTTTGTTACTAACAGGAATTTATGAATGGATGACTAAGTCAGCATTTGCTTTTGGAAATATTTGAACGTATATAACATGTGAATTAACAGTTCACTGAGAGAATTCACTTTGTACTCTTTTGTGATATAGACACCATGAATTAAAAGTTTCTGTGTTGTTTGCTTAAAGTTATTTTGAACAGCATTACAAAACTTACTGGTTTTGCTTGGCAAGATACTGCAAATATTTTCTCTGTTTCAGAGCCATGTGATTTTCTATCATTGGGTTTTGCTTTAATCAGACTCATATCTCAACTTCATAATCAGTCCATCCCTCAAAAGCTTTAGCTTATTACATGGTATAAACAGGGTGGAACCCGATGAATTATTCTATGTTCCCATAAAGCTGGATGCAGTTTCTTTTGACAAGTCGGGTGATAATCCAAGTAGGCATAGCTTGGCTGAAGTCAGTGGATTCCTCTGTTAGTACTGAAGAAGGACACAAAATGTTCATGGGATCCAACAACATTGTATCAGTGGCAGATCCAGATGGATGCAGCAGTGTAGTTGTACCCCCTTTAGCTATTCGCCATATCCATGCATTTGGGCAAACTGAACAGTGCCTTTACCCAGCAAAGACACTACAGAATTGAAATAGACCATATTTTTTAAAAAGGCACCCAAATACCCTGCAGTAACCTACTACAGTACAAGAAAATATACCCACTGACTGTACAGCCTTGGTTGTCACCTACCATCTCACACTTGAACCAATAAGAAGCAACATAAAACAATTAAAGGACCCGCCCTTGAGAGAAATATTTCCAACCTGCCATCTCTCCCCACAAGCACACACACACACTACTGGACTTCAAACAACCCCCTAACCTTGCCCAATTCATCATCAGAAGTAAATTCCCATTGATCAACAAGCACCTAATGGGGTCCAGCCCTGCCTTAACAATAAATGCTAGACCTGTCAACTCACCTCTACTGCCACAAAAATCAACACTACCCACAACAAAACTGTGAGACTCCATGGATCATGCATGTGGCTATCCCAAAATGAGGTATACCTCATCTAGTGCACAAAATGTCCTCATGGAAATGATGTGGGTGAAACTAGATAAAAACTACACACCGGAATGAATGATCACTAAAACAACATAAAGGACAGAGCCACTAGAACACAAGTAAGAGAACTTTTTTCCACAGAAAAAACACTCCCTGGCTGATTTCATGGGTTTTGAGCTTAAAATAAATATACCAAACACCTTTGAAAGATGGGGTTGGGAACACAAAATTTGTTACCCTATTGGATTACAAGCACCAGGGACTTGAGACAGACAGTGATTTCAAGGTCCATTATAATCAGGGATCCAGATTTTCCACTCACCATGGAGAAACGTGGTAAAACCCAGATTTTCTCATTTTAAGGTGAAAAAACAGATATTCTCTTTAAAGGACAAAAACACGGGAAATGGTGGGCTTCCCCTTGCAGGCTGGCAGAGTTCCAGCCTGAAAAGGGCTGGGGGGAGCAGGAGAAGGGTGATCATTAGGGGGTGCCATGTGCATGTGTGCATGTACACATGCACATGGCTGTCAGGCAGCTCCCTGCAGGTAAGTCTATCAGTACACTGGAGGGGGAAGAAAGGGGGGTGGGGGGAGGGTCAGGACCCCATAGGGAGGGAGGGGGTTGGGAAGGACTAGGACTGCTGCCCAGCCCATGTGGTTTATGGGGCTTGAGGCCCAGGGCCAGAATGCATGGCTGCAGGGCTCAGGTAGGGAGCAGCATGGAACCACACTTGGCTAGACCAGCGGGGTGGTGGGGGGGTCCATCTCCCCACCACTGCAAACCCTCCTGGGGGGGCATTCACCCCACAGTTTGTGTGTGGGGTGGGGGTTATGGGAGTTCCCCACTGCAGACTTGGGCTCCCCACCCTGCTGCCCTCCCCCAGGGCCTCCTCAGCCCAGCAGGTGGAACCCAAGGTGGCAGGACAGAACAGGGCAGGGAATCTCAGTGTCATCACTGCAGACCCTGCACCACCATCACAAAGCATCCTCTGCCCACCCAACGGCAGTGGGGGTGGCGGTGTGGAGTTGTACCCATTGCTACTGCCAGCGGGCAGGGGATGCAGGGCTCCCAGCAGCAGCAACAAGCTTCTCCACCCTGGCCGACTCTGCTCTGCCATTCTGGGTCCCACCCACTGGGCCACAGTGGCCCCCAGGTAAGGGCAGCAGGGCAGGAAGCCCCACGCCCACAGTGGGCAGCCCACATCCACTCCCCGCCCCCCTCCGTGGGCTCTTCTCTGGCCATGCTGCCCATTGGGGAGAG